AGGCAGTAGTTGTAAAACTCCTTTATCCTCCGAAGCCGTTTCGTCTAATTGTCGTAGACTTCTTCAAGGAGTTTTACAAGTTAACGCTAAACGCCTGTATGTAACTGATTCAATTCCTTGTTATCCTCGCTCACAGAAGTGCCGTATAAAACCAGATCATATGAAAAGGACTTAAGGAAGGCATCAAACCCTAAGAGGGAGGCAGACACATGAGATTTATTATGTAGCTAGTAATTTTAGAGGAAAATTAAGTAACACAAAAGCTTGTAATATTAATAACGATAACAATAATGATTAAAAGGATCTAGAGCGAGTAAGAGGGTCTTAATTAGATTACTGCTTTTCCGGCTAACGATTAAAATTTTAGCCAACTGACAGTCAACACCATATCATTCCATCGCTGTTACCAAAAACTTTTTTTCGTTTAACTACTGTTTTTACAACTGACGGTTAGAATTCGTCAATTCTAAACCTGATGATTGAACGTTTCGGCCATTTCACGGTTAATGGTTAATTCAACTGAGATCCTAGAGTAAACGTTTCAGTTAGTTAGATGTTATACAAGTGGGCCTTGTTAAAACATATATTTGTTACTTAGTTGAATCGCACTATCAACAAATCCAGATTAGTTTGTATTACACATTTTGATCTTACGTTCTCAATTTTTTTCCAAGGCTGACAAAAGTTCGTTGCATTGTTGTTTAAGTGTGCGGTCGAATGTTGGTGGATATTAACTGTGTGAAGTTTTGGTAGTGCTTCTTCGTCAATACATTATATTAAAATCACCGTTAACAGTCAATCTCACCGTTAATCCGTGATTCTCTTGGCATTCAATACTGGTTTAAATAGTTCCACCTACTCGTTAACAGCGCGGCCAAAGCAGAGCCTCGCCTCGATTTTTTTTAGTTGCAGCAAGCACTAGAAGCAGAATATGTGAGTTGCAACAGTTCAAGTAATTTGTTTATAGCTTTCAAATATTTTTTTAATGAGATTTTAGCCACCATTTTTCAGTATTCAAGTGATTATTCCAGCGCATTACTCAACTATTCAAAGGAATCAGCTCTCACATCACTAATGCACTTCTACTATAAACGTGAACAGCTGCTTTGAGACAGTTTATCGGGAAAAAGGACAAAAGTGCTCGCGACAATCTCGAAAGGTAGTATTGGTTCTTGGTAATCAGGAGATTCAAATATAAAAAACAGATCAATTCGATCAACCCGCCTCGTCACCTCGAGGACGTTTTGATAGATTTCCCAGAAATCGTGAGGTCAGGGAACCGTCACCTGACAACTACCCACAATACGATTCCGAGTTGTCACGTAAGCCTATACACACATTTTTTTTCCGACAAGCCTTCTTGAAACAGCTGTATATACTCCTCAATGTACTTCTTCCTTGCAAATCCAAGAGACA